GATTGGCTAAGAGCCGTGTTGATATAACTCAATGTCAACACGGGAAATTTTCCGCCGCTCGTAAACACGGAAATTTTTCTCATCCTTCGGGCTTTTGACATTGCTATATTATAAAAAAAATATAAAACATTTTTCGGTATTGATATATAGTTATATAAACACTCGTGGAAGTTGAGAAGACTCGAAATTGTATGAAAACACTCAGCCCTTCGGGCGTCGTGTTTCTATACAATTTCTCGTTTTCCCAATTCCACTCGTGTTGATATAACTGTATATCAACACGGAAAATGTTTTCTATTTGTTAAGTATTACACGAATGACAACATTCATTGAAACACCAAATAATATATTAATGTTATCGATTTTTATTGAATTAAAATTAAAACAAATATACAACTAATAGAAATTATAATATTTTCATGTTGTTATTGTGATATTTTAAATCGTTTTCACTGTTTTTTTGAGAACCAAACGTTAAGTTATTGCATTCTGTTTTCGTGATATCCAGAATTATCAAAGATCTCGGTAAGTGTTGTCAATCTCGACTTCAGCCCTCGACCTCGACCTCGACCTCGACTTCGACCTCGACCCTTGATAATTCTCGGCGATATGACAAAAACTTTATCCAAAATCTGTTTAATAATTATAATATTGGATGTCGAATGCTTGAAGTGAAAATTTTAAACATTTCACATGACATGACTAGCGTGCACGTATACTGATCGAAGTTTGATCTGAAAGAATTCTTGTTCTTCAGGGGTTTCACGGATGTCCTCTCAAAGATGTTGGTATCGCCGATTGTAATTGCAATGTTATGGGAAGCCATTTCCGGGCAACAAGGCCAATATAATAGTGAAAATGGAAATGCTTGCCATTCGCACCCAAGACCGGAAGGAAGCTGTGAAAGTTTCTTACAAGCATATAGAGACTGCATAAAGAGTTGTTGTAAGTAATGTGTATGTATACATTAGGCTGATAGAAGTAACGTATCAGCTTATTTACGTAAACCTGAAAACCTATCCCATTTTCTCATCAGTTCTCTTGACGCCGAAGCAAGTAATTTTGATTACCACCGGAAAATGTATTTCTCGAATAAATTTTACGATTTGGTATGTTGAATTGAGGCTGTCGTTTGAATATTTTGAAATTGGAATAATCAACCATCTCTGATGTGAACACCATGTAGATAAGGCAAAAAGTGAACTAACTAAAATAATGACTTTCACGTGGTACTAACCTGATACCTTTAATAAATGCCATATTTATTTCTGATTTATGATAGAGATTCCCCATACACATCACCAGATGGTTCTAAAGCCGGAACAGACATGACAAGTTTTCATACTGCAAGATTTATTTGTCAATTGCACCTGTGTACGTACAACAAATTTTCTAAGACAAGTTTTTAAATTTTGGTTTCCTGACCGCCATCTATAAATAATTAGTACGAGAATAGATCGTTGATCAACTGCAACTGCACGTAAGTGCTCATGTCACTTTGAAAAAGTTTCTTTGTTGAACTAATGTAGACAGACGACGGGAGAAATTTACTTTGCCAAATTACTTTTGTTACGGTAAATGTAACAATTGTCAGACTGGAAACCAGCACATTGCATCTGTTCGGTTGATGCTTTATTTAAAATTATTTACAAAATTTAAAAAGCTCGCTCCATGGAAAGAACTAAATGCGCATAATAAGGACATGCATAAATACAATTTGGGCATGTCATGAATACTTGTCATGACTTAATTTCAGCTGGTGGTTGTACCCAGCTAATGCTAATAATGTTTATTAATTAATCGTCTTCATTTCATGCACCAGTTAAATACAATTACTTTCAAACGTTGTTGGGACACATGCAGCTTTGGATTGTAAGTCGATCTAGACAGTTTGTTACAAACAATACCGAACCCTTGCTTTTCCCCAATCAATGTTGATTTCGCAATTTAAATACTAAAACGCATCGAATGTGACGAACAATTGTACACAACCATTGAACGGGGGATCAACGTTTCTTATAATTAAAGGTTTTTGTGGCATCTGTCCCAAGACATTTGAATTGTAGATATATTTCTAGTATTCTATTGAGATCAGTGTCTTATTCCTAGACATGCAAACATGAATATTGTAAAGCATGCTTGATTTGTCTCATTTTCCACCATAGCGAAGCAATTGAAATATATTTCTATCATTTGTGATTCAGCTCAAGAAGCATTCATAGAGTCAATCAGTTATTGGTATTTGCTGGTAACCACAGTTTGTGTTTCTGCGCTGGTTTCTGGAATGATGGCTTGGCATTTCAAACCACCAGTAAACCCACTGGTTCAGGCAGTCGACAAAGACCTTGTCGAAATCAAGAAGCCGACGCAGGAGGAATTTCAAGACATAGAAACTGTTATTGAAAAGATACAGTGAGAATTAAATAAGGAGTAACAGAAATTATATTTATTTTCTGAACATTTAGCTACGAGAAAGCCTTCACGATGTGGTAACCCTCAGATGTATAGTCATATAGATTGTTCATTGCTAAATTATTGAACTTATTCTCTAACGATTTATTGCTAAATTATTGAACTTATTCTCTGACGAAGGGTAACCCTCAGATGTATAGTCATAGATTATTCATTGCTAAATTATTGAACTTATTCTCTAACGATTTATTGCTAAATTATTGAACTTATTCTCTGACGAAGGGTAACTCTCAGATGTATAGTCATAGATTGTTGATTGCTACATTATTGAACTTATTCTCTAAACGTTAGCTACGAGAAAACCTTCACGAAGGGGTAACCCTAAGATAATATATAGTCATTGTCTATTGCTAAATTATTTGAACTTAATTGCTACAACTTTTAAGGTATCCGCATATGTAAAAATATCGAGTTAATCAAGATGATCAGTAATTACTGTAGCTACACTCTTGGACATAACATTCAGACCATTCCAGACAATATTACGAAGTTTTAGTTAATTAATGCACAGTGGGAGAAAAACAACTTTGTCTCCCCCTTTCCCCAGTACAATGAAAATGTTTTAAACAACGCCGAAACAACTTTTAGTAATTTCCCATGCGACAAGCTCAACATTGAATTGGGGGAGCGGAAGTTTAGTTAAGAAGCACATTATGTTTCCAGATGGAATTTATCATAACATGCGAATATTGAAAAGAGGAAATGGTGGTCTTAACCAGTTATGTCCAACATTGTAAGTTTCTGATGACTATCTCCCAGAAATACAGTAGTTATTTTAAATAACACAAATGTAATAAAATATCCGCGAGCTCAAACTGCCCTTCTCAGATCATTAAATCAAGTCTGAGGCTAAGCTAAAAAACGTTCATGTAATCAAGCCTGCAATTCTAGCGTAATTCTGTCAATCTCAAAGTTTGTCAACAATAAAAATTGCTTGCGAATATTCGAAACTTAAGACCTGTAAGCCGGAAGGAATACCAGATAATTTGTTAACGCGAAGTTTGCATGACATGCTTAATAAGGGCCTCACGACGTTGTCTGATGTTTTTTTGTTGTTTTTCACATGTTTGTCATCATGCACGTTCGAGATTTTTTGCTTTAATGCCCAAAGTGAAGAAGTATTAATAAAATTGTAAGCTTAAAAGAAAGTCATTCGAAAAATACGCATATAAATATTTTATCCATGCAGCTTGGCGGGATGAACTTTTCCCTTCTGACCATACGTGAATGCCTTTTCTAAAATAATGACGTCAATGACTATAAATGGCTTCAACCTGGCAATGTATTTCCCGCCTAGGCGAGTTTCCGGGATCATATAAACAGGCCAAAAGAGTGTCACACTACGCCGTTATATGCAGTTTGTTTACATGTTAATTTGTAACATCTCGAATTTACTAGCTGTTTTGAGACTTGACATGCTTGTATTGCAAGTACAAAAAAGCAACGGCGTTTGTGTTCACACAAAGCTCGCCAAGTGCTCCGTTTTCATCTCGCTGCGGTAAAAACTGTGCTCAAACTGTTACAGCAAAAGAAACGTTTTCAAACAATTTCGTTCCGGCGCAATGTGAACGTAGTCTGCATGGGTGCTCATCAGTAGCAATTTTCTAGCGAGATACAGTAGTAGCGAGCATCTAACAAGGATTATTGTTACCTAGTGACTTGTGTGAAAGATGCAGGAGGTGTGACAATCCTATAGTTTCGTATCTTTCATCTATACCTCGATGCATATACTTTCCATCATATACAAACATATACTTTCCATCCACCAGAGGTGCGTCCAATCCCGGACTCATCGAACCTACAAGTATATGTTTGGTTTTTATCCCATGCCATTTCGGTAAAATGTCCTGATGAATTTACGCATTTTAGGATATAATTTCTTGTTTGGATAACGAACATTTTAGCCGGCAACAAACTACGCAAACAAACAAACTTAGCCTGCGTAGCAGGTGTTTAGTGCGGGCGGGAGAAGAAAGTGCGTGGTTTGAGGAAACGCCTGCCCAAATGGCTATGACAAATTTGCTTTCGCCCATCAAGGATGATTGACGTTTTGTAATTAGCAACCTCACCCATTATCCAATCAAAGTCGAGATTTATATTTAGCATCATGCATGCTTTTTGCCCGGCAGCTATGGAGATTTGCAGAGATTTTATGTACTATTTAAAACATGAGCAGCAGTGTTTTATCAGATAGAAAGATGGTCTGATAAAACACGCACTGCGATTGTTTTAAATTGCTTCAAAAACGATCGATTTAGTAAGTTCATTGGCGAAGTAGCTTTCAAAAAATTCGTTGTGTATGTAGAGAAAATCAAAGTTAAAGTTTATGTAAATCAAGGAAAATCTCTATCACATATAAACATACGACACGTTTATGATTTTTCTTTGTATTTTCCTCATGAATTATTAATTTCATAATTTCATTCATTTTGAATTCACAAAAATTAAGTTTTAAATTTTACCGCCAAACAATACCCAAACAGAATTCTGGTGGCAACTGTGACGTTTCTGCAACGTATTCTTTCCCAGGCCTCTGCTCGGTGACAGACGTTGCCGTCGCCACTTCCCGTCGCTTTCCCAAACTCTCTAATAGGACAATCGCTAATACGCTATATAGGTATGAAATAATTGTCAGAGTCAAGAAACGTGACAAGAAACCCAAGATCTGTGAACAAGGAGAGCACGTTCCTGTTTTCACCTCATGTGTTTAATGTAGACAACTTGAACTGTAGTCTCGACTATTAAGAGACTTTTCAGCCACATACTTTCAATATAGCTCTTCGCCAAACTTTATAACACTTCTTCGCTGATGAAAGAATGTGGTTGGCTTGCTCGACAGAAATGTAATCCCAGTTGTCTTTTTGCCGTCTTGTTCTTCCTGTCCTCCCTTAGTCAGTTACTAGCGAGCAGGTATTATAGCTGCAGCTATTTTAAGAGGAGTTGAAACGACACAAAATCCTGTCAAGACAGAAACGTAAAGCATGGAAATAAGTTTATTAATCTATTATTATCTTATTTAATAGTGTTATTTTAATTAGTGCCCATTGGCCTGGACGTAACCTGTGAACACACTGCATTATGCTGTAATCAGTCTGTGAAAATTTGTGGTACTCGCGCTTCCATGCTTGCGTGTTCATATTCCACACAGCAATTGCTTCTGCTACTTATATGTAAATATACTGCATGTATAAAACAGGATTGTCGTCGACGCTGCATAAAAATAGTGCGGGCTCGTGAGCTTTTTCCCGCAAATTTTGCTTTTCGATGTTTGGCTTACAATTTCTGAGGATGTTGAAGTTTACAGCATTGTGATTCACTGGTTTTTGGAAGCATCTGGGGTTTTTTTTTGTTGGTTGTGATTCACTGGTTTTTGGAAGCATCTGGGGTTTTTTTTATTGGTTGTGATTCACTGGTTTTTGGAAGCATCATTGTGATTCACTGGTTTTTGGAAGCATCTGGGGTTTTCTTCAACAACCTAATGACTGTTTTTAAAGCAAAGCAATTGAAAGGAAAACTTATATTTTCATACGAAGAAGATGAGTGGCGATATTTATGTTGGACTGTTTTGAGCAGATGCTTCGAAGAACA